CTTGTGCGACAACAACTCCTTGTCCTCCAGCAACAACTACCAAAGGTCGCAAACAGAATGTGTCGTCTGTGACTAATAGTCCTGTGTCAGGGGCTAAAAAGGTTTTGTCAGGAAGTCAAAAAGCTTTGACTGGAGCTAAAAAGGCTTTGTTAAATTTGGTGAGCACCTCCAGCGATGATTGTGAGCAGAGAGCGGATGGCATCTTCCTCCAGGATGCGAACCACTGTCGCCGATTCTATCAGTGTCGCGGAGGTAAGCGAGTGGTTCGTCGTTGCAAGTCGGGCAACTGGTTCGATATTCAGGCTGGAAAATGCCGTCGTCGGAACCAGGTCAAGAACTGCCCCGCGAAGCGTAATTGATTTATAAAAATAAAGTACTACAACACGCCTAGCCTAAATTGTAAACCAATTCAAATAAATCGCAGCTTATTCATACCCTAAGGATGCATCGGTTATTTTCTTGTTGTTCCTATCCATTAATAAAAATAAAATTTCGTATTAATATACCGAAATTTTTATTATCAATAAACTAAAATAAAAAGTGTGCATATGTACTTTAATATACATGCGTTGCACAGACGTATTTTTCATCCAATTTGAGATGCGCATACGTCATATAAACGCAACAACCTAAATATATAATGTTGTACCAGATTTCAGGATTTAGGATTCACTCATTGACGACCATATTGAGAAGTTATTAAGCCGCTTTCCACATCTGAAGAATGTATATAAAAGAATTGATAGCCAAGTAAATAACTATTGTTAGGTGGGTAAACGGGCCTGTGATTGCTATGAATCAGCTTACTAGTTTATTTTAACATTTTGATTCCACATCAGTATGAGTGACACAAATGTACTTGGGGGTTAAGTTCTAAAAATAATAAAACCTTAATCTATATTCCGTTCATTGACATATATGGGGCTAGTTATTTGAGTTTCTTTTATTATATAAATAAATAAAATAATAAATATGTATATGTCTTGATTTCTTTGTCTTCTTGCTGATAACGCCTGAAAAGCTCTCTTTTGATAACGCTCAAGTATAAGTAAGCCGCACATTAACATACTTCTATTATTCGCACTGTTTTCCAAAGGCGTCGCTAGTGGAATTCCAAACAGATAACGCATGCAGTCACTGAATGATACTGTTTGGAACATCCGCCTCAAGACTTGGCGGTGGGGTTTATCTATTATCAAAAAATACCTTGACAAGGAATTACATTTGACTGCCCAGTACGTATTGTTTAACGGGTTGATTCGTCGGGGCCTTTTTTATCATAATTTTTATCGTTATCAGCACTCTAATGGTGTCACACAAAATGCTATCGAAATGTACCGAGCGCATGCGAGTGATAGTACAACGCTATCGATCACCCACGACTTGAACTCTTGTAGCTCTCATTTTCTGTATAGTAAATATTAAATATGGAAAACGTGATTTTAATCGTACCATATAGTATTCCTTGAGTTCACAAATTAGTTCAATTATCTGACAAATATTGAGAACCTATTTCAATTGCCAAGAAATTTAAGAAAGAAATTCGCAATTGTAAGTATATAAATATCACTTATAGTATATAGAAATTACGATTGGATGCATTTGCTTTTGCATAGCAAAGTCAAATGATGGCCAAGGCCTTTGTCGTCTAGCTGTACGGGTTGATCGAAGCGAGAATCACGCGTTTCTCTATGGTCGTGATCAAGGGCAAAGCCGACCGCAGCTTTCAAATATATATATATATGTATATTTTATATATGGGAAAATTTCTACAAGCGCTGTAGGCGCAGTTGTGAACACTTAAATACGAGCAAATTACACAACAAAACAAGTTAGGGCGTTCTGCATATATTATATACATAAAAATTTATAGTATATCTAGTATGTAATATAATTTGTAAGATATTCGATTGCGTTTTAAAATTACTCGGCTTTGTTCGAAAAGAAAGCTTCTTGCTTCTGCGGGTTGGGTTTTGCGTTAGTTAGGCACTCCGAAACTGAAAGGCGTCAATTGTTAATCTCCAATATTTACTACGTGTCTAAACTATTCCTACTAAACGTAAATTAATCTAATAACATATTTTTCACTTCAATCTGTAGGTTAACTTCCTAGTGTGTCAAATATCGGCGCTCTTCCTGGCATCGCTTTTTCGCTCGTGGCTACATCCATCGAAGGTCTCCTATGAGGTGCGGCATGTTTTTGCCCTTTCGCTTGGCCTGGCCTTTGGCTACTTTTGCTTTGGCCAGCAGGCAATACACATTGCCGGACTGCCGGCCATCTGCTTTATAGTCATACGCACACAGGATCCGCGTATTGTTCAGAGGTAAGTGCATTTCAGAGAGTCGTTTGCCATTCGAATTGAAATTGAATGTACCCCTTGCAGAAGCGTCTTGCTGGTTGCCATGGGCTATTTGCTGTGTGTGCACCTAATGCGTCAGATCTACGACTATGGCTCGTATGCACTGGACATAACTGGACCATTGATGATCATCACTCAAAAGGTCACTAGCCTGGCCTTCAGCATACACGACGGTTTTGTCCGTAAAGACGAGGTGAGTGACAGCTGTGCCATTTCAATTCGATTCCAGTTCATTTCTAATGGCTTTTGCTCTCTCCCATTGTGCAGGACATGACAAAGGCTCAGCAATATCATGCGATTAGGAAAATGCCTTCAGCATTGGAATACTTTTCATATGTGTGGCACTTTCAGAGCCTGATGGCCGGACCGTTGGTCTTCTACAAGGACTACATTGAATTTGTCGAGGGCTGCAATCTGTTAAAGCGTCCGACGAGCAATGTAAGTGCGCCAAATAGATAGACAGAGGAGAGAGAGGAAGAGAGAGAGACAGAGAGAGTCAGTGACTGGGCCTAGACATGTATATGGTTATAGATGAAATATGTGTTAGTGTCTTTTTACCTTTTCATTTATGATGCCTAGTGAAAGTATTGGCAATATGACTCAGCGGACAGAAATTGAGAAATTGAGTTGTTCTAGGGCTACTCTCTCCTTATACTTAATGAAGAAGGATAAATAGATAGATATTGATCATGGAAGCGTTTTGGCCCCTATGCTCTCCATTACGTCTCCATACTTCAAACAGCATAATGAATTGATTCTCCTTCCCTTCGGCTTTATTATTTGCAATGCACACCTAGCTCTAATGTATCCGCCTCTCTTGTTTGCAGGCCACTCTGGACAATGGCCGATCCGAATTGGTTGTAGAGCCATCTCCGACGAAAACAGTCATACGCAAGGTGCTGGGAAGCATGGTGTGTGCCTTCATATTTATGAAGTTTGTGAAAATATATCCAGTGAAGAATATGAAAGAGGATGACTTTATCGATGGCAACACTATACCCTATAAAATGTGGTATGCCATGATGGCAACCACCTGCATACGCTTTAAGTATTACCACGCCTGGCTCCTCGCCGATGCCATTTGCAATAATTCGGGTCTGGGCTTCACCGGCTACGACAAGGATGGCAATGCCAAATGGGATCTCATATCCAACATAAATGTGCTCTCATTCGAGGTGAGTTACTCCCACTAGGAAGAGGGGAAGGAACTGCAATTACTCATACCCGATTCTCTCTGCCCCTGCAGTTCGCCTCAAATATGCGGGACGCGATCAACAACTGGAATTGCGGCACGAACCGCTGGCTGCGCACACTCGTCTACGAGCGCGTGCCCAAGAAGTATGGTACTCTGCTGACATTCGCCTTGAGCGCTGTGTGGCACGGCTTCTACCCAGGCTACTATTTGACCTTTGCCACGGGCGCATTGATGGTAACGGCGGGCCGTACAGCGCGCCGCATGCTCCGCTACCGATTCCAGAGCACACAGTTTACGCGCATGTTCTACGACATTCTCACCTGCATCACAACGCGCATCGTGATGGGCTACACCACATTCCCATTTGTTATGCTTGAATTTATGGTATGTCCGTTGGGAGCGAAACACAGTGTTGTTAATTCTCGTCTAATTGATTTCCTCTCTTCTTACAGGGCAGCATCAAATTGTACCTGAGATTTTATTTGTGCCTTCATATTATTTCACTAGTGACCATATTTATTTTACCACGCTTCATACGCGGCGAACAGCGGGCCCGGCGCTCTAACGGAACGGAAGTAACAGCTGACAGTGACAGGAGCGGGCAGACGGCTGTTGCTACACAGCCGCTGCTGGCCGCTCAGAATGATCTCAAAGCCGGGCAGGATGTGGCTGCTCAGGACCAGCTGCAGCTCGATAAGCATGCTAAATGTAATGACAAAATACCACAACAACACCAACAACAACAACAACAGCAACAACAACAACCAAATAGCCAGCCTCTAATACTCCAACCACGCCCACAGCAACAGCAGCAGCACTCGCAAAAGATACAGCCGCCGCCATTAACTCTGAATGTGACGTCCGCCCGCGACGCGGTTAGTGTGCCGCACGATCAATGCGAAATGGACCAGTTGTCGAGCAAGCTGAAGGAGAAGATAGAGGCGGAGACCAAAAATATTGAGGAATTTATTGATAAGACTGTCACCGAAACCGTCAGCGGCATCGTTGAATTCAAAAACGATCTGATGCGCGACATCGAGTTTCCCAAACTAAAGCTGGCTGCCGGCCAGGTGACCAGCAGCGCCGCCAACCTGGTGGATGCTGCTGCCGCCGGTCTACGCAAGCGGAACATATCCCATGACAACAATCCAAACAACTCGAACTCATCAAACGCACAATCGGATCAGGACGACAACAACAGCAACAGCAACGGCGGAGGCGGGGGCGGGGGCGGGGGCGGTGTTTTCCTCAAAAAGGAAATGGATGTAATCAATGCTGTGGTGCAGCAGGCGAATGTTTTGCCAGCGGTGCTCAGCAACGGCCATGCCAAATAGTAGAAACTAAGCGTTAAGATCAACAACAGCAATAACAACAACAACAACAACAACAACAATAGGCAGCAATTGGATTAATTAACAAACTGTAGTAGAAACGGCTGGGAAAACGGAATGATGGGAATTTATAGAACTGTGCTTATAGCGCAGGAGCAAGCACAAAGAGCTTAGGCGAAGAAGAAACAAACACCCACGCACAAAAATATACGAACACACACACACACATGCATACACTAACAAACAACTGAGAACAGAACAAATCTAGTAAACAATTTTTTGATTTTTCAATTTTATGTGTTTAAAAATTTATCAAATGAAGAAAAATTCAATTGTTTTTTGTACACGTGAAAAAAAAAAAAATAAAACAAATATTGAAAAAAAAAAAAACAAAGTGAATAAACATTAAAAAAAAAAAATTTAAACTAATTTTTTTTAAATATTTAACAAAATCAAAAACTTGTATTTGTTAGCTAGAAAATTAAAAAAATGTACTTTCAATTTCATAAAAAAATTGTTTGATTTACATTTATTTTTAAAGTATTTAAATATATCGAGCGAGTTGCAAAATTTAACTATTAATGATATTTTTAATGCATAACTAATTTTTGAATTTAAGAATATAAAAAGCTTAAAAATATATAGATGAAACTAATAGATTTTGAATACAATGAAATTAAATCCGTTTTTTACACTACATATATTTACATTTTTTTATATATATCTATATATATCATTTTTAAGTCGGATAGTTGTTTTTGCCAGCTCAGCCTCTAATGTATATCTGTGTGCATGATGTAAAATTTGTTGTTAACTCTAAATATCTACGTATGTTTGTGTATGTTTCTATGTATGTATATGTATATGTATATGTGTATTGTGTATTGTAAGAATTCTTCCAGTATGTACAACTTGTTTACATGTTTACCATATAGTCTATGTAAAGTCCGGCTAATTTGCAATCAACTGAACAAATGGCACCAACAACAAACAAATCCTCTGAGAAACTAGAGAAACAAAATATCACACATAAAAGAACTCAACCAAAACTCAAACTTTAGACTGAAAATCTATTTGAAAAGGTAAAAAAAGATGCAGAAAATATTAATAAAATAGAAGAGAAATGAAAACACGCGTAGTTCAAGTTAGTTTTAAGATGAATTAATTTTATAAATCAATTCGATATTAATTATATGCATGTATAAATGTATACTTCCACAATTTTAAATGCCGTTTACAGATATTTCGATTAATAATCTTTGTACTCCTATTACTCCCGGTAAAATGTTTTTGCTGGAATTTTTGTATGTTTATATTTCGTTTTGAAACAGAAAAAAGCGAAGAAATATCAACTCCAAATCAACTTTTGTAGCCTAAGCAATTTATTTTAAATTGATTTAGTTTATACTGAAAACACAAAACGGAAACAAAGAAACAGAATTAACCATCACGCGCGTATATATATATGTACATATACATATATATGTATATTTTGTATATTTATAGTAATAAAAACCACAAGAAATTGAATATTTCAAGCAGGCGCACATTTGTTTCGATTGTTAACGTTGACCTGGCCGGGGACATGAGAATGCACAACCAAGTGAATGTAATATATTTGTATCTGAAAGCTGATAAAAAGAACACAATACAAACTTAATGAAGCTTCCATAATGAGAAAATTATGAAATGAAATAAATTGTGTGTGTGTAACATTACGTTGATTTACTTTTGTTGAGTTTTAAATTGAGCGCGCCATTCTCAAATTGTGCACCTTTGAATACTGCCTGCATTACTCAATTTGGCATGTACTAAAACTATCGTATCTATCGATATATTTAGAGCTTTGCTGTTACAGCTTTGACCAGCTTTTGGTTGGCTTTTCAAACAGTGCTGTCGGTTTTAGCTATGTTTTTAGCTAAGTTTTTAGCTATATGTTTAGTGCTGGCTTTTCATGAGCTTTGTATATGCTAAAAACTTGCTTAAAATATATATTTTAAAGTAAACAGCTTTATTTTCGTTTATATATATAAACACAGTAAAATATATGGTGCAAAATGAAATTTCAAGAAGGGATAAATTTGATTTAACATATGTTTTGTATTAATTTTTATTGCTTGGGAGCCTCACCTACTTCCGATTTGGCAGTTGCCGTTGTGGCAATAAACAATTATTAACTTTGTTGCACGTGAAGAGCAAACGATTCGCACATTATTGCCACATGCGAGAGGCGGCATTCAATATCCAGACGCAAGGCAGACCTCAAGCCAGAGCTGTGGCAGGGGGAGTGGCATGTCGTCGCCTTAGTTACATTGTAAAACGTTTTATTGTCGCTGGCAGCTGGCAACGATTTGTTGCTGCCATCCTTCCCCCATCCCCTCCGAAACTCCAGCTCCAGCTCCAGCTTCAGCTATAATTCCGGCGTCGTCTCCATCTTTGTCTCCGTAGCAAAATTCGAGATTCAGCTCCAAGCTCCTTGGCAAAGGTGTTTGCCGGCGGCTCACTTGACGACAACTGTTATGCTTATCGGATGCTTTGTGAATACGAATTTGGTCATCGACGTTGCGCCGAGGGTTGCCTGCGTTTGCTGCCTCTTTGAGTTGGGCGGCGGCGTGAGGGGTGTGGCAAATTGCTTTCGATTGCCAGGCGAAGGCTAACTGGGGGCGTAGGTGCCAACTGCCTTAAAGCTACTTACAAAGTTCGCCCATAAGATAGACTTACCTCCATTCGGCACGTGAAGCGTAGCGGGTATACACGACCAAAGGTGCGTCTGGGGTGGCGAGAGGCACTTGAATTTCAAATGAGCAATAATACTGTTCGATATCGAAACAGATATAGGACAGATTGAGATGGAGAATGAAAGAGAGCAAGGGAGAGAGAGAGAAAAGGAATGACAACAATGATTCTCGGTGAATCGACTAACTTGAATTTATGAAAATCGCATAGAAAGGCTGTAACTGTTTTTAAATGTGATCAAGTGAAAACTGAAAGTTTTATAAGTCGACTAACGGCGTAAAGTGATCTCTATTATATATTGAGAGATCAGGCATCTTATGTGCTATATTCCACTTCCCGCACTGGGACCACTTTCCCATACCTTTTTTTTTTTGGGTCATTGTTAATGTAGACGGTATAAATAGGAAAGAATAAAATGCCCAGCGGCAAATGGCCGAAAACTTCAGTGTGATTAAATCGCGGGCGGGTCAAAGCGCACAGAGGGATGAAGTTTAGAAAGGGAGTGGAAGGGAGGGGGTTGCGGACTCTGTGTAGCTGCAGCCTGAGCTGAAAATCTTATCGTCGCAAAAGGAACTCGTTTCATTTTAGTGCCGCAATCAGCGCTGCTCACTTGCAATGGCCGAGCAAATATTTTACTTTTACTCTTTCGCTTTAGTTAGGAGCAGGGTGTGGAGGGGGGAGGGGGAGGTCAGAGCTGGGTAATGCGATGCGGAAAGTGTGCCACAAGCATAAAGCGCCAAAAGACGCTGACAACGGAATCAAAAGGAGAATGCGACAACTGTTTAGGCGAACGAAGTAGATAAACAGAGGGAGAGGGAGAGAGAGAGAGAGAGAGAGAGAGAGAGAGAGAGAGAGAGAGTGTGACTAGGGGGCTAGGCGGCTTGGATAGGTGTTGGGGGTAGTTCAGCTGCCCAGCAAAGTTAAAATTAAATTAGCGTTTCTTTTTTTTTCTTGCTTCTTACTTATTTCTGCCTAGCAAAGGTATTCGCCAGTTGCCTTGCTGCTAGTCTGTGTCTCTTCCTCTCTTCCTCCCGCTCTTTCTCTTGCTCACTGTGTTACTGTCACTGGCGCTACTTAGCCAAATTAAAATGGCAGCAATTCTTTTAGAGCTTCTTTCGTACTCCTCGCTTCTGCAGCTGCTCCTCCTCTTCTTCTTCTCCTTCTCCTTCTCCTCTTCTACGCCCTTTTTTTATAGCATTTTGCATTTATGCTTGTTTAAGCAAATGCCGTGTTATCGCTGGACCTGGACCCACCTCCTTCTTCTCCTCTCCTGCTCTCCACCTCTCTGTCGCTCTTCCTCTCTCTTTCTCTCTATCTCTGTTTGCGTTTTACATCTTCAGCTGGAATCGCAAGGATAATGCGCGTAATTGCTGTCCGTGCCCGGCAATTGGCATATAAAAAAGGTTGGCTATTACAAATAAAATAAAAAAGAATCAGACAAAAAATGTGAATTTGGCACCGAGAATTCTGGAGCCGGGAGTTAGTTAGTCAACCTGCTCTCATGCCCATGCCATGGTGGTGATGAAAGTCACTGTTCAAGAATTAAAAAAAGGTAAAAGCTTATTTCGATTAGCAGTATCGTTTATTTCAAGGTTAACAAAGAATACCCGGAAATCGTCCGATTTCGGGTATTAGCCAACCGTTAGTAAATTCTATTAGGGCAATCTTACTAGTCTTACTAGTCAAGATATAATAATGAAGAGAAAAACTTATAGTCATGTCAAACAATAAATATTGATAGCTGTTGAAATAGATATTCAATGATAATAATATTGAAATCATGGATTTTCATTAATCAAATCAAAAAATATAATTATTCCTTGAATTTTCTGTCGAAGCTTTTCTATCTAACAATAATTTTAATAAATATCGATTTTCGTCTGCGAGTCAAGGCCGTTTGTATATTTTCTTTAAACAACTCGCCACTCGTACTCAATAACTGCTTATGAACTTTGCAATAGTGTGACTCGCTTTTTTGTCGCCAGGTGTCGCTTTTTTTTTATTGGCATCAATTGCCAGCGGACAGATGCGCATTCAATGGGAAACGTTGAGCAGCTGGCAAATATGTTTGTTCAACTGCTTCAACTTTCGCTCTCTTTTGCCAGCCACTCGACACACATATGTCAGTGCGGAGATGGGGGGAGGTGGGGCCAGAGTGAGCCGAGCGGGGAGGCGGGTGTATGCCTCCTGGGAGGCCCGAGCAGAGTCATCAGCAGCCACAGCAAACATTACAGAGTCAAGTGCGCATTCTATGTGCCCCAAGAGTGAGTGTGTATGAGTGGGCAGAGGGGGGAAGGATTGCTGGAGGGGGAGCGGCTTGGGTGCACATATGGCTAGAGGTATTTATGCTTTGCATGAAGCAAATAGTTAATTGAGGCGGATGAGACAATGCCAAGTCATTCGAGTGGAAGTTAAATAGACTATGGACAAATTTTAGAGAAAGATAACTGATAACTGCTAAAAACTGAAGATAAGCCTGAAAATAAATTGATTGATAGATC